ACACACATACACTAACACACACATACACTAATACACACATACTAACATGTATACACTAACACACACATACACTAACACATACACTAACACACACACTAATACACACTCACACATGCACACACATACACTAATACACATATACTAACACATACACATGAACACACACACATGCATACACATACACTAACACACACATACACTAACACACACATACACTAACACACACATACACTAATACACACATACTAACACATACACACTAACACACACACATGCACACACATACACTAACACACACACACACACACACACTTTATTTAGCTCCACTCAGCGTTGCGGCTCCAAGCAGCTGTCTGCTTGGCAGGTCGGCTGCATCCTTGGCGATGCTGCAGGTTTTGGAGGAACTCGATGCACAACCTCAACACAACACGCTTCGACGCTTCTGTGGAGCACTTGAGATTCTTGGCCAGTTTACAGCACACCCTCAGGACGGCACTCACAGGCTCTTGTTCCTAGAATTGATGCTGGAATCCGGACACGGCTCCAGCAGGTCCAGCTTAGGGGCAGAGCATCTGACTGCAGATAAGACTGGAACCACCCTCATGTTAGGGATTTCTTAACCTGTACTTGGCGGCTAGGGTTCCCAGGAACCTCTCTGCTCTCTTCTATGCTGGTATATTATTTGTGTTTTAATAAGTAAAGCTTGCCTGAAGATCAGAGGGCATAGCAGCCACACTAGTCAGCCATACAGGCCAGGGAGGGGTGGCTCACACCTTTGATGCCAGGACTCGGGAGACAAAGACAAAGGCAGACGGATCTTTGTGTGTTCAAGGCCACCCTGGGCTACACAAGATTAGATTTGTCTAAAAGAGAAACAAAGCTCACACAGAGGTGATCCCAGCTCTTGGGATCACATGCCTTTAATCCCAGCGCTAGGGAGGTGGAGACAGGAGTGATATGGCTGGGCAGAGAAAGGAATTTAAAGGGGAAGAGACAGGAACTCAGTGGAGTGTGGGGCCTGAGGATTCATAGAGACAGATTCTTGCCTCTTGGGTCTTAAGATTTGGTAGAGGTCAAAGGTCTCTCTAGTGGTTGGCTGCCTTGGTGTTTTGGTCTTGAGCTCGAACCCCAATATCTGTCTCTGAGTTTTTATTATTCATGCTACCCTCTTCCTGGTGACAGAGTCCTTAGGACGGAGCCTGAGGCGGGCGTGATGCCCGCACCACAGTCCTTTCACCCTCCTGTGAGGCGCTCTCTTCTCACAGGCGGCCTGACGAGGCTACACCCACAAAGACTCGCCGACATGACTGCCTGAACAAGAGCTGCAATGGTGATGCCAGCATGGATGGAGTGACCCGGGTGGCTGACCGTGAGGCCTCAGCCCTGCACACAGAGCCACAGGCAACCGAGGAACCTAGCGAGCTGGAGAAATAGCCTCCCGGGGAAGAGCACACTAGTTGTCCGACACCACCTGGTCAGCCATGAAAACACAGGAACAAATAACATTGCACAGAGCAAGCAGGTTATATTTAAGAACATATAGGCATATGTGCATGCAATAACCATTGATAAAATTAATTTTTTAGCTATAAATGTAAAAGGGAGCAAGAAATGGCATATGGGAGGATTTGGAGGAAGAACGGGAAGGAAGAAATTATGTAAGTATATTACGATCTCAAAAAAGAAAAAGAGGGAGGCAAGGCCTTCTGCAACCCTTCCCGTGTGCCACTGGGACCTTGTGTCCAGATCTCGTGTGCCTTTCTTCTCCGAAAAGAGGACTGAGGCTAGCCTGTTGGGGTGACATCTGTGTAGCCCCTCCAAGGTTTGGTGATAGCAGGTCCAGTTACCATGTCTGCCACTGCAGCTGCCCTGAGGGAAGCAGTCATCTCATCCACCCAGCTTGATTTTTCTCGTTCTTGCTCAGTTTCCTTGCTGTTCCACTGCGATGACAGATCTCATGGCTGAGGGCTTTCTTCCTTCAGAGCCTGCATCTTGTCAAGTCACTTGTGTGCCATTAGCCTTTGATAGATACTGCTGAGCGTAGGTGCTGAAGCCCGTGGATGCCTTGGCTGGAGCAGCTACCCTCATCCCTCAAGGGACTCATCACCGGTTACTTGATCGTACGTATCCCCGGGGCTCAATGAAATCTAGAACGGATACCTTTCCACTCTGGATACTACGTGCCAGAGACTAAATTTGTGGGACTGAATAACTCAAATTCTCAGGCTTTCTTAGCAGACTCACCCTCTATCTGACATCTATTTATCTCTCCATTTGTCTTACTTTTTCTCATCCTCTATCTGTGACAGATTGAGTTGTCATTGACACATCTTAGAATCTCACCGAAGGACTGTATTGGTTTGGCCTGTGGACATATCTGCTGGGGGTTGTCCTAACTAAGTTGTCAGACATGAGAAGACCCAGTCTGCTGTGAGCAGCACTATTCCCTTTGCCAGGGGTCCTGAGCTGTGCAATAGTGGAGAATTCTAGCCAAATACAGGCGAACAAGCAAGCGAACAAGCCAGCAAGCATGCATTCATCTTTGTCTGACCTTGTCTGCTGGTGTGCTGTGACTGTTTCAAGTTCAGGTTTCCTTGACATTCCTGATATGAAGAATTGCAACTTAGGATGGTGAGATAAACTAAATCCTTCCTTACCTGAAAGTCGTTCCTGCCAGAGTAGTTGCTCACAGCAGCAGAAATGCAGCAAAGACACGTCTTAGAGGCTCTGCATCAGTCTCTGGCCCAGGCAGGGTGAGAATCCATAGCAACAGCAGCAGCAGCAACAGTAAGAGCCTGGGAGTCAGAGTCCATCCATGTTGTGTTCAAGCTTGCTTTCCACCTTTTTTGCCACACCCCCTGCACAATATAGGTTGTTGTAGTGAGGAACTGACTGACATTCAAAAGACAGATCATGCTGCCTTCTCTCTCTCTCTCTCTCTCTCTCTCTCTCTCTGTGTGTGTGTGTGTGTATGAAGTGTGGATGTGTGCATACCATGGCTTGTGTGCAGAGGTCATGGGACAACCTCATGAAATTGGTTCTCTCCTTCTATCTTTGCAACGCGTCTGAGCATCAAATGCAGGTCATCACTTTTGGGTGGCATGCCCTTTTGTTGGCACCCACCAAGCTATCTTCCTGGTCCACTGTCTCCTACATTTGATATATTTGTATGACATTATTAACTAACTTCTTGCATACAGACAAAGGGCTGTGTGCTGTGTGCTCACTCCCAGGCATCTGTGTGCACACACTTCTGCTAGAAGCTCTTGTGACATGCCCTCAGGCCATCTATGTGTCAAGCTGTCTAGGCTTGTGTTTAATAGCTACCCAAATGTTACTCTGGATGTTTCTATGAAGATATTTTTATTCAAAATTAACAATTTGAATTGATCGGCATATTGACCAACCAATCAAATTAGTTTCTACTGCACAGTCACATGTATAAGATTCTGGTTAAAAATAAGTCAAATATATCATGGTAATTCCAAAAAATTGTCTCTCCTAGCCATGTTGTGTCTGTCTTAGTTTGTGTAAGTAGACTATGACATTTGCGTGATGGCAATATCCCACACCATCTTTCTGTTCTGAATGAGGAATATAGACCCTTTCCTCCGGCCACTTCTCTAATGCCAAGTATGAAATGAGTAACCAAATACGTTGTTCTGAATTCTGCCCCAAAGACTCTCTCCCCTGTCTTCCTGTCAGTCTTCAGCGGGTTTTTAACACAGCCCAAATCTAGCTCTGGCTAGCAGCAATGCTCCACACCTGTGTCTGTGCTAAGCCGACCATAGCTCTATCTCCCTCTGTCACTTGTCTGATCCATAGGTATGTATGGAAGGAAATATACCACTGTCGCAGATGTAAAGGAACCTAGGGTATCTGCCAATGATGTGGTAAAGGAGCCCGGGGTACCTGTCCGTGAAGTTTCCTCAAGTGTCAATCTGATGTCAGTGTGACCCGGATTGTACTCCGTCTGCGTGAAGAGAATTGCAGCTGTATTCCCACGGGCTGTGGTTTGGCAGATCTGATAGTACCCATAATAAACAGCTCTAGGTTCGGTTGCCTGGTGTTCCGTGGTGGGATGAAGCATCCGTGACCAGTGCCACGCTGTTTTTCTAAGCGAGGCCTCGGTTTCTGCCCACAAAAGATGGGGCTGTGCTTCAGACTCCTGTGGTTGTAGAGATTCCCTCAGCCTTCTGACCCATAGATAACGAAGAACATCAAAGCAGGGGGGTCATAGGCGTTAGAGACAGAGTGACTCTCCCGCAGCTTGGTTTGGACATCCCTGCCTTCCTCTGGGCTGCACTGATAACTGGATGGAGTGTGTGTGTGTGTGTGTGTGTGTGTGTGTGTGTGTTAAAAGAAAGAGAGAACTCAACATTCTACTTGGCTGTCTGTTATCTCCTAGCAATATCATTCACCGTACATGTGCTATCATCATATCCTGTGGGACAAGCCATCGCCCACCCAGCCAGACTCTTCAGAGGTTCTGCCTCGACGGCTGACCTGGAGGCCTTGGGTCGCGGTGACAGTCGGACCTGGATGAGAGCAAGCATAGCCACATAGGGACTTCTTATCATACAGCCTCTGAGCCAGAGGTTCTGAACCTGTGAGTCATGACAGGGATCATGGGGGCGGGGGGAGGAGTATAAATGATACCTTCTCAGGGGTCACCTCAGATCACTGGAAAATAGATATTTCCATGACGATTCAGAAACAGTAGCGTAATTACAGTTATGAAGTAGCAACAAAAATGATCTGATGTATTAAAGGGAACTGTATTAAAGGGTCACAGCATTAGGAAGCTTGAGAACCGTTGCTCTAAGTGAAGAATTTGTTTAGTTTCCAGGGAGGGTCGGGGAAAGCTGGATTTTCAAGATATCAATAATAGCCAACAACGGTCCCCATGCCCGGTCCCCACTCTCCCTCTATCAGTCCTCACTTTGACATGGTAGCTATTAGGAGGCCGGGCATTTTTCCTCCTTGTAGGTTTGCCACCTTACAACATGCAATCTTGAAAAGGGTTTTCTTTCTCTTTAGCTCTGCAGCTGTGGGAGGGGGATTGTAGAGGCTTTCACGGAGACCCCCAGGCTTTCGCAAAGTCTTTTCAGTGGACAATTCGCTCCCTTGAGTTTCTTACTCATTTTTGCAAATATTCTAGTGTCCTCAAAAACAGCATCCCAAAACCTCCCATGCCGTCATTGTTCCTGTACTGACCGCATTATAACAATAACCACTTCAAATGACAGAATCTTGGCTTCTTCCTACGCCACAAGCCGATGGAGGCCGGATAGGTATTTCAGCTGTTATAGTATCATTGCAGATCAGAGGGGGGCCCGATGGCTTACCACCAGCAGTGGAGACCCACGCTTGTCTCTGGAGGTCTGCCCTCTGTGGGTGCTCCCATGACAGTGTCCTAGGTCGGCTTCTGTAGGAAACAGAAACTGAGGTGAACATTCGATGTGCTAATTTTCATTTTAGGGTAGAATTCCAGAGAAAACGAGGAGTGAGGCCGAGAATAAGGAAGAACAACTACAGAGGCGTGTGTGGCCAAGCTGGCTAGAACTCCGGGGCAAACACCAAACACAGCTGTCGCCCAGTCTCGCGAAGACATCTGGAAAGAAACCGCAGAAAAACAATGGCTTCTTGGGAAAGTTTGGGCTGTTGCAAGGAGAGAGGCCACTTGATCGTTCCTGGCTGCTCAACCCCAAAATACACAGTGATTAATTAAATCGCTGTTTGGCCCATTAGCTCTAGCTTCTTATTGGTTAACTCTTACATCTTAATTTAACCCATTTCTATTTATCTGTGTATCATCACATGGCAGTGGCTTACTGGCAAGGTTTCAGCATGTCTATCTCTGGCAGCAGATCCATGGCGTCCCTCTCTCCGCCTTCCTTCTCCCAGCATTCAGTCCAGTTTTCCCTGCCTACCTAAGTTCTGCCCTATCACCAGGCCAAGGCAGGCCAAGGTTAATGAATTGGTAAATTCATTAACCAATAAAAGCAACACATAGACAGAAGGACCTCCCACACCACTGGGCAAGCAGGGGTGAAGCAGTCCTGTTCATCAACATCAACCTTCCTTGCAGATGAATCGGCGTGAGTCACGAGAAGCCGCATTCGCAGAGCAGAGACGCATCTTTAGAGACGAAATCAGGCATGGAGCAGAGGAGGAAGCGGAGTCCCCAAAAGTCACAGCGTTCAGTGGGGTGACTGCCTCTCTTCCTTTTAGTCCCTGAAGGTCAAGGGTGACTCAGAGGACTCCCCTTCTGACTCTTGTCCTCCCGTGAAAACCGAAGCCTTGGATTCAGTGCTCCGGTTGCACTGAATTAAATTTTTAACTGAATTTAAAGGAGACGTTTAAAGCCGTCGTTACAGATTAATGAGCACCTAGGACAGAAACACCGTATCTCTGGGAAATATCTCCAGCGTTGCTTTCTCTTGGTAGAGACGTGACCCGGGGCCCGTTTGGAGACTCCAGCTGCCCTGATATCTGCGCTAAAGGGTACAAAGTGCTGGAAGGTGCGAGTTCGAACTCTGCCTTCGCTCACCCAGCGTCTGTAGCGACCAAAGCCGTCAGAAACCGTCGTGGGCTCCACCATCCCTTTTTCTCTAAAGGAATTTTACTTATTTTACTGTGCTTATATTTATTTTTGCTGGGGGCCGTGCGTGTCGTCAGAGGACAACTTAGGAGGCGAGCTGGCTCTGTCTTTTCGGTGTGTGGGACCTGGGGCTCGAACTCGGGTCTTCAGGCTTATCAGCGAGTCCCTTTGTCCACTAAACCACCTCACCAACCCAGTCTTCTTTCTTCTTATGTTCCAGATAATAATCTGTGAAACTTCTTGCTTTACTTTCCATCTGAGATTAAAAAAACAAAACAAAACAAAAGTCTTTTACTTCTAACAAGCTAAAATCTGTTTCCTATCATGTTTTAAATTAGCCTAGCAGACTAATTGTTTGAGTATCTACCCCATTTCAGCTTGGGAAAAAAAAAACTGATGAGCTGGCTTCAGATTTCCAAGAGTAGTTGCCAACCACTATATGCCCTGAGGCTGGCCGGGGGTGTCTCTGCCGAAAGGAGAGCACCATTTCTGACTTCCTGGTAAAGAGCAAGCCGACAGCCACAGAGCTCTGGAGAAGCGTCTCCACGCTCCGGGGTCTCCAGCGTCTGCCTCCACCACGGAAGGGTCCACTAATACCGAAGGGGAAATGCGGATGAGCGCAGTTCACTGAAGGCAAGATCGTCACATCTGCTGTGCAAGGAAAGCATTTGAAGTAATGAGAGCTGGGCTCTGGGCCTGCCAGATGCTGCTCAGAGCTAAAAGCAACCTCTCCCGGAACAGAAGGAATAGCAACTTCCTCCCGTGGATGTGGCATGGCTGGTGGCCTCCCTTCCACAAAGAGAAGGCCATTGCCCTCCCGTGGTAATCACGAGGCTGAGAACTGAGACATACACATGCACATGGCCATCTTTCTTACTTGGCTTTAGATTGAGGAATTTTGGAGGGCACCTACTTCTAAGGCCCAGGAGGTCAAGCAAGGCCCACTGAAATCCAGGAGGAGCAATCTCTGAAGCTTCCTTTTCGGCTTCTGACGGGGCCTCGTGTATCCAAGGCTGGTCTCCAGCTTGCGATGTAACTGAGGGTGACCTCGAACTTCGGATCCTCCTGTATCTACCTCCCAAGTGCTGAGATCACAGGTGTGGACAGCCATACCCAGCTTATTTGGTACTGGGGATCAATTTAGGCATGAGTAGCAGCCATGTTTGACGTCTCTGAAATCACGAGGTGCTGTCTCTAAGCACGGCAATGATTCTGAGGAAACACAGCAAGCAACATCTACAAAAACGTAAGATGGTCACTTGCCCTTGTAATCCAAGCATAGACACTGATGCCACCTACTGACCTTAGCCCACGGGCACAGGGTTATAAATAACGTGTACAATTTTTACCGAAGAACTATCTGTTTATTTGGGGGTGCACATGTGCCACGGTGCGCATGCAGGGGTCAGAGGACAACCTTCCAGGAGTGGAGTCACCGCACCCAGCTTTCTACAGGCCCTCCAAAATCGACACTCAGATTGGCAGGCTTGGGCAACAAGCCTTTTACCACTGGAGCCACCTCAATGGCCTCTAAAGTAATAATTTTTCGGGGGGAAATGAGTTATAAAACATGGGCCTTCAGTGGGTCAAGGAGCTTGCTGCCAAGTCTGCTGACCCACACGGCAGGAGAGAATTGGTTCCTGATAGTTGTCTTCCACAAGCACGCTGGGCACTTATGCCAGCACACAACACAATAAATAAACGCATCCACTTGCTCAGTAATTATAATAAAAATGCAAAAACTGAAAATAACCGTTATAGCCTATTTCTCTGTGTGTGCGCGCGCATGTGCGTGTGTGTGTTTTGTTTTGTTTTTCAAGACAGGGTTTCTCTGGATAGCCTTAGCTGTCCTAGAACTCACTCTGTAGACCAGGCTGGCCTCGGACTCGCAGAGATCCACCTGCCTCTGCCTCCTGCATGCTGGGATTAAAGGAGTGTACCACCACCACTTGGTTTACAATTTTTTGGCATATTTCTTATGTGTGTGTATGTATGTTTGTGGTATGTTGTCCTGGTTGATTTTTTTTTCTGTGTGTATGTGTGTGTTGGTTGATTTATTTTATTTTATTTATTTTGTCAACCTGACACAAACTAGCTTTCTAGCAAGGAGATCCACAACTGAGACAGGGTCTCCCCAAGCTTGGGCTGTAGACAAACCTTGGAGCATTTTCTTAATTAGTGATTAATGTGAGAGGACCCAGTCCACTGTGGTTGGCCCCACCTCTGGGCAGGCTGTCCAGGGTGTCTTGATAGAGCCGAGGACTGAGGAAACCTGGGGAACAAGCCAGCAAGCCTCTGCTCCAGTCCCTGCCTCCAGGCTCCTGCCGCGAGTCCTCCCCTGACTTCCCCCGCGACCACCTGGGGACTGTATCTGAAATAAACCCTTTCCTTCCTAAGTTACTTTTGGCCACGATGTTTTGTCAGAACAACAGACACTGTGACTAAGACATGTAAGCACACTGTGTGCAGATACGTGTGCGGGCCGGAAGCGGGTGTCACACGTCTTCCTCAGTGCTCTTTACCTTATTTTTTTAATTAATTATTAATTGTGTATATACAATATGAGACTGCGTGTATCATAACGCATGTGTGGAGATCAGAGGACACCTCTTCCTTAGTTGGTTCTCTCCTTCCACCTTTACATGGGTCTTGGGGGTCACACTCAGGTCACCAGGCTTGCAGGGCAAGCACCTCTACCGCTGACCCATCTGGGGCCCTCTACCTTATTTTCAGAGTCAGTCTCTTATTGAGCCGAGCGAGAACTTGCTGAGTCAGCCGGGCTGGTGGTCCA